TGAAGGGGGTTGACTTCATAAGTAGTGAGGCATCACAAGAAATGCCCACAAGGAACATTCAAGTTTAAAAATCACTTGTCAAGGGATTGTAGAGATGATTGCAGGTTTGGCATTAATTTGAGCTAGAAAACCTCCAAAAATTTCCCATCTCTTAGTTTCTGTGATTCCAACTGTGATCTTCTCTCTTGTGAGGGTTTTTTGTTTGTTTTGGCTTGGTTTTTTTTCATATTTTGTTTGTTGGTTTCTCAGTGTGTTCTGAACTGTAGGGTCTCTAGGCCTTCTCACAGGTCTTCCTAAAGAATAGAACATTTCTGTAAAGCAATTATCCTTCAATAAAAAATTAATTAATTTAAAAAAATAAAGCAGTCAAGAGCACTGACAGTTAAGAACAAGGCTCACTAAAGTAAGCTCATTTTGCAATCTGACTCAGTGAATAATGCATCTTTGCCAATCAAAGGTGGCCATAGGTTCTTTTTAACAGAGTAATTATTCAGATAAGAAACTTTGAGATAATGAATGGAGGAAGATTGACTTGTCTATGTAATGAAAAAGACAAAAAGCAAAGATTGATTTAGTTAATCCAATGGAAGAAATCAACAATTGGAAAGTTTCTTCCACATAGATAAAAGCGGTACCTTGGTCTTTGTTCTCATTTATTTATTCACTCACTCAATCAGTGAATACCTTTTGAAGACATATGCTAAGAAAAGGTATGGCTATGCTTTTCAACATTTCATAAGAGAATTTCATGAAAACTTTCTAGGGCCTTCACCTCTTCTAGAAAAGAATGATGTCCGCTTCTGTTTTACATTTTGTGAAAAAAAGTAAAATACTAAATTTTTTCTTTTAAAATGGGCACCACTGAAGAAGGAGGGCCCTAATGAGTGGACATATGTAAGAGTGACTAAGAATTAGGTGAGCATGCTTGTGGCTGAGGGCAATGTTGAGTAGTCAGCTGGTTATCCCAGCTTCCTTGGTGGTCTTGCCTGTTCCATGTTTTAACTTTTTGTGTCACTAGTTATATGTTGCTATTTCATACTGAGGAAAGACAGCAAGTTAGTCACAGTTATAAAATTAAATAACTTTGAAGATTCATTTCAAATTTATCTATATTGGACTTGAAGTTGCATTCATTGATCAAAAATCTTAGATATAAAAATAAAAATATCAAATTCACAGGAATAATTTTTAAATGGGCAAGATCATTGTATAGAAGACTACAAAGCTCTACATTAAAAAGTACTGGGAAAAATTAAAGAAACAACAACACAAAGATATTCCACTCAAGTTTTCTCTAAACGTATGACTATTTTTTAGTCTATTAATGTAAGTAAAGAGTCTGCATACAGTGCAGGAGACCTTGGTTCTATTTCTGGGTTGGAAAGATTCCCTAGAAAAGGAAATGGCAACCCACTCCAGTATTCTTGCCTGGAACACCCTGTGGACGGAGGAACCTGGCGGGCTACAGTCCACGGCATCGCAAAAAGTCAGACACGACTACGCGACTGACACTCCACTCCAATATGAATAAATAAAATGCAGTTTTACTCAAAGTGTAAAAAAGTCTTTATAAATTTCAAAAGCCAATACTAAAAGACAAAATATAGTGATTATTACATATTTAAGTCTCTCCATAACCTCATTATGATCTGAGCAAACTCCTGGAGATCGTGAAAGGCACAGAAGCCTGGCATGCTGCAGTCCATGAGGTCTCAGAGAGTCAGATAAGGCTTAGCGAGAGAAAAGCAGCAACAGCAATAACCTCTTTGTGTTATGTAGAGAGAAGCACATACTTTTCAGTCTGAAACAAAGCATAAAGATATTAAAATAAAGCATTTAGTTTGTTATGAAAGAAGTATTATCTTCATTCAACACTGAGCTAGCAGTTGAAGCTTTTTCCATATTTTAATATACACAATGACCAAGCCAAGAACAATATAATATCATTTTAAGTTATTTATCAAAAATTATCTTCTCCCTTATGCAGGTTATTCAAAGTAAATTTAAAGGATATCATATGATATGTTGGGCAAGACTGAATGTTACCAAAGATGTTATTAAGTTTGTATTTTGCAGTTTAATATTTTATAAAAGTTTTAATTTAACATAATCTCTTTACCACATACCATACAAAAATTACAAAGTGATTTTCTAAATTGTTAAGACTTCTCAAAAGCTACTTAAACGTGTTTTTTGAAACAAAATTCTGTAAAGCAATTATCCTTCAATAAAAAATTAATCTTTTTTTTTAATGGGACATACTAAACTACTGAGATAAGATAGATTTCCCCTTTATTTACAGTTGAGAAAACTGAAGTTTAGAGACATTGAACCATTTGTCCAAGGACAAACAACTAATAGCAGACTCTTATGACAAGTGCCGTGCAATTGCACTCATGTCACACGCTAACAAAGTAATGCTCAAAATTCTCCAAGCCAGGCTTCAGCAGTACGTGAAACATGAGCTTCCAGATGTTCAAGCTAGATTTAGAAAAGGCAGAGGAACCAGAGATCAAATTGCCAACATCTGTTGGATCATCAAAAAAGCCAGAGAGTTCCAGAAAAACATCTGCTTATGCTTTATTGACTACGCCAAAGCCTTTGACTGTGTGGATTACGATAAACTCTGGAAAATTCTTTAAAAGATGGGAATACCAGACCACCTTACCTGCCTCCTAAGAAATCTGTATGCAGGTCAAGAAGCAACAGCTAGAACTGGACATGGAACAACAGACTGATTCCAAATAGGAAAAGGAGTACATCAAGGCTGTATATTGTCGCCTTGTTTATTTAACTTATGCAGAATATAAGTACATCATATGAAATGCTGGGCTGGATGAAGCACAAGCTGGAATCAAGATTGCCAGGAGAAATATCAATAATCTCAGATATGCAGATGACACCACCCTTATGGCAGAAAGGGAAGAAGAACTAAAGAGCCTCTTGATGAAAGTGAAAGAGGAGAGTGAAAAAGTTGGCTTAAAATTCAGCATTCAGAAAACTAAGATCATGGCATCCAGTCCCATCACTTCATGGCAAAATGATGNTGGGAATTGGAGGAAGAGACACATGAATCGTGTTCCAAGACAAAAATCCACCATCTGTGGTGAGGGCTTCCTGAGACTGAAATTTTGATAAGGGTTAGAAATTATATTAAGATTTCTAGCTGAGAATTCAAAAAGATATAGGCTCCCCAGTGTTCATAGCAACATTATTTACAATTATCAAGGTATGGGAGCAACGTAAGTGTCCATCAACAGGTGAATGGGTGAAGAAGACGTGGTGCATGTGTGTGTGTGGGGGGGGGGGGTGTATACATTTCATTGTATATACACATACACAAGGGATGCTGCTCAGCCATGAAAAAGAATGAAACTTTGTCACTTGTAGCACCATGGATGGATTTGGAGTACATTGTGTTAAGTAAAATAAGTCAGACAGAGAAAGTCACATGTATGATATCACTTTTAGGTGGAATCTAAAAAGTAGAACAAACTAGGGCATAAAACAAAAAAGAAGCAGACTCAGAGTTATAGAGAACAAACTAGTGGTTACTAGTGGGTTGGGGAAATATAAAAGAAGGGATTTTAAAAAGGAGCTATTATGGAATTATATGAAATCATGTTTGTGAAATTTTGAAAACTGTATAGCACTATAGAATTTAAAGAATCTTTGATTCAAATTTGTAAAAATTTGAATAACAAGACTTCTAATTGAAAGATTTGGGAAAGTAGTGTTACTAAAGTAAAAATAAAGGAACAAACAAATACATATATAAGCAAGAAGGGAATTTCATTTAGGTAAAAAGTTGCCAGAACTGATTTGGCCTTGCTGAGTCATAAGTAACATTAAAACTTTCAGGTAGAGCCATCATATAAACATTTGCTAATATAGGATATAAGTGCTGTTGAAAGTCTGTGCTGAAAATGTAGATTTGGAATCCATCAACAAAGGATAAGTGGTTGAAATGAGACCAGCGGAAGGGAGCTGAGAGAACGAAAACCTGGAGAGGTAAAGCAAAACAAAACATAATCTAAGCCTCAGAAATCATTATTTGTGAGTATTGTATTTTTATGGGAAAAAATTTGAGCAAGGGGGAAAAAACAGCAAAGTAAAAAGTTAAAGGAAATAAAAGTTAAAGGAGAACCAGAACAACACAGAATCCTGAAAACCAAGAGATAGTAAATGTGGCTAAAATTTGCTGTACACCTACCATGGATCAAGTTTGTGCTATTTTTTTCACACAATATCTTATTTAATTTTTATAATAACTCAGGGAGGAAGTACATATATCTCTTTTGACAGATGAAGACACAGAGGCTTAGCTAAGATAAGCCATATGCCCAGAGCTCAGCTGGTAAATCCTAGGGCACAAACTCTAATTCAAGTTTCCCAGACTCCAGGGTTCATTATGTAACCAGTGGTCTCCAGAGTATATAAAGCAAACCACTGTAATGTGGGAAGAAAATGCTAATATTACCATTATCATATCTTATCCTTTAAAAATCCTTTAAAAATTTTTGTGTGTATTTTACAACATGCATACTATATTAGGGTAGCATGAGACTTCCCTGGTGGCTCAGTAGTAAAGAATCTGCCCCCAATGCAAAAGATGCAGGAGATGTGGGTTCGATCCCTGGGTAAGCAAGATCCCCTAGAGGAGGAAATGGTAACTCACTCCAGTATTGTTGCTGAGAAAATCCCAGAGACAGAGGAACCTGGCAGGCTAAAGTCTGTCAGGTCCCCAAGAGTCAGACACCACTGAATGCCTGAGCACAAGCACATGAGCACATGTGTATCATGCACTCATGATTAGTAATTAATAAATTAATAAGTGTATATTTATTGGGATACATGCTCAAATAATTTATTATCATGAGGATACAGCAAAAAAAAAATTGGAGATCATTTATTTAAAGCACTATGCAAATGTGCCTCTGCCCACACTCACATGGGTTGGTATGTTGAATGCCTGTCTGCTTGTTTGACCGTCTCCACAGATCTGTACTCCTGACTTGGTGGTGTTCCTGGCTTGCGCCAATCAGAGACTCAAAGAAAGATTACTGAAGCGTGCAGAGCAACAGGGGCGACCTGATGACAATCTGAAAGCTACCCAAAGGAGACTGATGAACTTCAAGCAGAACGCTGCTCCATTAGTTAAATACTTCCAGGAAAAGGGGCTCATCATGACAGTAAGTCAAATGTACTTTACTTGTCCATTACAAGAACAATCTTTCAGGTTTCTAATTATCCTATGTCATCATTTAGAAATCCTTTAACTTAAAAAAAAATACTCTTTTTTTTAAGGTGGAGATTCAATGAAAAAAAAAAATTGGCAATCTTGACCTGATTTGCCCTTATTAAGGCATAACAATAAAAATACTTTCACTTTAATTGATTTTACCAAAAAAAAAAAAAAAAAGATCAATTTTAACCTTGGCTAGAATTCTATCGTCCCCAAATTTTAAAGTATTTTAAAGTAATTTTTTTATCATTTTAAGTAACATTTGCCCAGTTTCTGAACTCTTCAGTCTTTGAAAACCTAATAAAACTAACTGATCAACTTAAAAATAGAATTGATATGTTAAACTTAAATTGTAAGCTAAACTTTATCATAGTGTACCACATAAAGAAATAAGATTCTGATGGCCCTGTAAAAATGTGTTTGACTTGTCATAAAGAAGTGATATTGTCTCAAAATGGAAGGCATTGCTCTTTCTGCTCCATTATACAATGCAAATATTAATTTTTTCATAGTTTGTTTTGTGAGTAATGATAATGAATGTGCCAAAGAAGGATGAAGCTGAACCACTAGTCTGTACAGCTATTAGAATACAGGGAAGCGGAGGTGAAGTCTCTGCTAAATGTATGATCCCCGCAACATCAGAGGTTCAAGTATGGAACAGAGGAGACAGAGGATCATTGGCCAGCTGAGGCATTTTGCAAAACACACTAAAATCAGTGCAGCTCCAGGGTTCTCCTTGGAGCAAGCAGACCTTGGCAGCACCCTCTCCTCAGCCCTTAGCTCTTTCTCATGGGACCAAAGATTCTTGACTACTGGAGTTACAAGCCCCTGTGAAAATCTGATGAAAGTGACACTCTCAATACAATAAAATGCACATAAGGTGTTTTTCATAAATTTTAGGTAAATCTACTGTGAAGCTCATCCACAGAACTCCTATGACCTAACAATTACTGTGCTAAAAAAATCTCTACTTTAGCCTAAAATGCCCCCAGATTGAAAGAGACAGTCATGACATTTGAATAATAATCCCTTTGCAGTCTTTTTAGCACTATAAAGAAATGTTTTTTAGAATTTGCCCTTTGAGTCAAAGTTGTCATGTCAGAGAATTATAAATCTGATCTGAAAATTGTTCACAATGCCAGAGTTCATCTTATGGTTTAAAAGAGACTTTGAGTGATATGAAAGAATCAAGAAAATCAGAGTGGATGTTTCTCTGGCTCTTTTGTATTGAGGTTGTTGCTTGCTTCTCCTGCAATTACCAATGCTGACTTCTGCACTGTGTCATGAAAATAGAAATTTACCCTGCAGACCAAACCCCAACAGCAAGCTGCAGAGCCAGAGTTTTAATTGATGTTTGCAAGGCTTAAAGTTATTACCGGAATGTCTCTGATTACTCCCTGCTTGTCACGTTCATCATCACAATCAGAGGAGATTTCCCAAATGAATGCAGAGTGGGGATTGTTAATTTACTAATATTTTGCATGGAGGTGAAATGCCATTGCCTCTAATTGAGGGAGTCAATAACAATGCGGATGACAGCCTGTAACCTCCTTGCTAAACCCGGATAAGCTTTAAGATAAACGCCTCTAATTACTGGGAGAAGACTTGCATTGGAAAGTCACCTTTTGAAAATCAGTGAACACAAACACAAGCTAAGTTCTGGGAAACAACTGAAAATTTTGGTTTGACACAGAAGCCAGTGCTGCATCCTGATGCGTGTGTCCTCCTTCAGAACCCGGACACAGTTCGCTTTTGGAATTAAAATGTAGATTTCTGCTTTTAAAGATAAGTTAAATAATTTAAATGGTCATCCTGATTAATCAAATGCATATTAAGATTTTAATAAAAATCTGAGGTAATAGATTAACTCCAAATATTTCCTTTTCTCTATAGCTTTCCTTTATTTCTACCTACCCCTCCTAATTGATCCATTTATTTATTCAGTAAATATTTATTGAGAATCAGTGGGTGCCAGACTCTCTGTGAGGTGCGCGTGGTGCAAAGCTAAATAGGCAAAAGTTAAGGATCTTTATTTTATCTTCTGACGTATTTCAAACTCCTAGTACTATGCCTCTCTGGTACATAGTATGTTGTCAGCAGATGAACAGAGCTTGCAAGTCTATGGGGGATCAGATATTAAGCAATGAGGTTTTAAATTATTTATCTATTTATTAATTTTTATTTATATTTGGCTGCACTGGGTCTTCGTTTCGAGCAGGCTTTTCTCGAGCTGTGGCGAGCAGGGGTTACTCTCTAGCAGTGGTGCGCGCGTTTCTCATTGCGATGACTTCTCTTGTCACAGAGCTTGGCTCCAGGTGCAAGGTCTCTATAGCTGTGGCACTCGGGCTTAGTTGTTCTGTTATGTGGGATCTTCCCAGACCAGGGATTGAATCTATGTTCAATCTCTACTTTAACCACTGGACCACCAGGAAAGTCCCACAGTGGTTTATTAAGTGTGATGACTGTTGCATGGGAGAATGTACAGAATGCCCTCACATACGTCATGGACTACAGAAATTCCCTGTAGTGAGTAGAACAAACTCTCCCCATCCATGAGTAGGATTCATCTGTGATCTTGTATGAGCTTTGTAAAGACCACAGAGGCCACGTACCTCTCAGTACAGGTGAGAAACTTTATCTTGGTGCCTCTGTTCCTTCGGGTTTTAAGAGTCTGAAACCCTTCACCTGAAGTCTCAGCTCCACTACCATCTGATAAATTCATGGTGCTTCAGGACCCGGTCTCTGTGTCTAACTTAGAGATGCTGTTATCTGGCACATAATGTTGTAGGGGTGAAATGAGAGAATGCATGCAGCGGTGGTTTGCATGTACCACGTAACCACATTGCCTAGTCCAGGCTCCTGCTGTGTCACCTGCCACCTGTGTGGCCTCATGCAGCTTATTTATCTTCTTTGTGACTCAGTTACCTGACGCATACAGTGGTTATAATCATCATTGTACCTACCTCAGTGTAATTTTGAGGGTAAATGGGTATCAAGTACTTAGAACATTACCAGAAATGTTGCAAGTGAAACAGAAGTGATTGAAATTACCTTGCAATTTTCACATTTCCTCTTTTTTCTTCCTTTCACCTCTAATGCCCATTTTTCAAAACCCCAGTTTTTGTTTTTTTTTTTACTACTAACAAGTCCGTGCTCTTGAAGGGTTCTCTGTTGCTTTTTCTCCCATAGATTACTGAACCGTGAAAGTGAATGTCATTCAGTCGTGTCTGACTCTTTTCGACCCCATGGATGATACGGTCCATGGAATTCTCCAGGAATAGTGGAGTGGGTAGCCTTTCCCGTCTCCAGGGATCTTCCCAACCCAGGGATCAAATCCAGGTCTCCTGCATTGCAGGTGGATTCTTTACCAGCTGAGACACAAGGGAAGCTCAGATGGATTACTAAAGAAATTCAAAGTGAAAATTTTAGATAAAACTTTTCACCAAGTTCTCTTTTTTTCTTTAAAACTGTCTGTTGTGTGCATGCTAAGTGACTTCAGTGGTATCCAACTCTTTGAGACTCTATGGACTGTAACCCGCCTGGTTCCTTTGTCCATGGGATTCTCCAGGCAAGAATACTGGAGTGGGTTGCCATGCCCTCCTCCAGGGGGTCTTCCCGACCCAAGGATCAAGCCCGTGTCTCCTGTAGCTCCTGCAATGCAGGCAGATTCTTTATCACTGAGCCACCAGGAAAGCCCAAAACAGTCTGTTAACCAGTTACAAAGTTGTCCTAGTGTTTTTTTGACTTCTTTATCATCCATGTAATCAAGCGGTATGATGGCTGTGTCTGAATATGGTAGTTAAATTATAACAGATGTCAACCCATTCTTTTTCTTTTTCACTACAACATTAACTATGTTGGTTGGCAGATTTGACTAAAAAACAAATCCAGTCTGACTGAGGAGAGAACCTAATCGAAATAGCCAGGAAAACAAGCTATTGCCTGAATAATATATCTTACTGCCAGTTCCCATCACATGGACTGCTTCATTTTTATTCTTTTATAATACTTGTCTTATACAGTTATCTGTGCAAGTATGAATTAAATGATAGCAAATCACAGGGCTAATATGTTAGGGGCTTCATAGAACCTTTTCAGACAAACTTTTTATTTTTTAACTTACAAGTTATTTAACTTATTTTTTACATACAAGTAGATTGTATGTAATAGCTCATCACGTCTTTTACAGGTTTTTGCTCCTAATTAAAGATTAGGATGCTGCGAGATCCCAAAGTTTGTCAGATGTTCTTCTTCAAAGCTGTCTCATGACATTTTGGAGCACTTAGACTGTAGCCCACCAGTTTCCTGTGTTCATGGAATTTTCCAGGCAAGAATACTGGAGCAGGCTGCCATTTCCTACAGTGTATATTCCCGACTCAGGGACCAAACCTGTGTCTTTTATGTCTTCTGCATTGGCAGGCGGGTTCTTTACCACTATAACACCTGGGAAGCCCTAATGCAGCTGTATAAAAGTTTCAATAATATGTCTGTTTAGTGATAATTTTTCATCTTAGTTTTATTTTAAAAGCTTAAAAAACTAGTCCTTGTTTTAGTTATCTTCATAAGTTAGTTAGAACCCATTTGAAAGAAATAATTTTAGTTTAAAAAGGTCAACTCTTTGGAAGCTTGATGGACTCTAAAAAATACCTGAGGTTTACTTTTTTTTTTTTAAGAAAAGGGTCTTTTAAAATGCTTGAAAATTAATAGGGTTGGATGTAATGTTTATGTTATTAGTTTCCAAAATGCATGTATCACTGGATAGTCCACTCAGCTGGAACATCATTCAACTTGTCAGGGAAATGGTTGCACACTCGTGTGCATTGACACTCGTGTGCACTGAACAAATGCTACCTAATATGGGTGACCATTAGTGAAAGTCTGAATTTAGTTTTAGTCTGTTAAGTAAGCAGATGGTCATTTTTCTTCTGGACTTTTTTAATATATAAA